GATCTGAAAAAGAACTTAAAATTTTTTTACTCTAAAGGCACAGAACAGCCCTGACCGGTTTGGCTCAGTGGATAGAGCATCAGCCTGTGGACTGAAGGGTCCCAGGTTCGATTCTGGTCAAGGGCACGTACCTTGGTTGCGGGCACATCCCCAGTAGGGAGTGTGCAGGAGGCAGCTGATCAATGTTTCTCTCTCATTGATGTTTCTAACTCTCTATCCCTCTCCCTTTCTCTCTGTAAAAAATCAATAAAATATATTTAAAATAAAAAATAAAATAAAAAAAATAAAGGCACAGAACAAATGAAAGTTTAAATTTTTTGTAGAATGAAGTCTTATGTGACATAATTACTAGTTGTATGAAGACTTTAGTTTATCCTGTACTTTCCCCTAACAATTATACTTCCCTCTTTTTCCTCTTCCCTCAAATAAAAACATAAAGAACCTGCTGAAGTTAACTCCTGAATTTTCTATATTAGTCAACAGTAGTCCAAAAATAATGTACTTCAAATTAATTGTAAGCAGATGCCTAATTTCCTGATTTACACATTTAAGGGAGACTGATTCTAAGTAAGCACTGGTTTGCATTAAAATTTTATGATTCTAATGAAGCCCACCAAATTAACCAGATATTTTTTTGGAGGTAATTCAAAAAGGCAAAATATGCCCAAAGACATATGGGAGAAAATAAAATGAACATGTTATACTGACATTAGAGGCCTGGTGCACAACATTCATGCACTTGGGGGTGGGGATCACCTCAGCCCGGCCTGTGCACTTTACCAGTCTGGTAGCGCTCAAGGGATGTCTGATGGGGAGCGGGCTTAAGCCACAGCTGGACATCCTTAGCACTGCCACAGAGGCGGGAGGCTCCCACTGCCACCGCCACTGCACTCACCAGCCTGGCTTGTGGCTTAGTGGTGCTCCCCATGGGAGCACACTGACCAGCAGGGGGCAGCTCCTGCATCGGTGCGCGTCATAGGGACCAGTCGTTGCGACATTCCATCGATTTGCATACTAGCGTTTTATTATATAGGGTAAGAGCTCCTAGGCGTGTTGGTAAGAAAAAAAAGCAAGTTGCAAAACATATGCATAGTAAAAACAATTCATGTAAAAATTGTAAGCCCAACTAAACTATGTATGGCAAAAAGGTAATTGAATAGTATATATTAGAGAGCAAGGGTGACCATTTGGGAGGCGAGTTCTAAGGGGCACTTTCACAATACCTATGTTTTTATTCTTTTTTCTAGAATATATTTAGATAATTAAATACAAAATGAAGAACTTCACATTTCTAGGAAGTACTACATATAATGGCTTCCTTAAAATAGCTTGCTACCAAATACCACTGTTGTCTATTTTTCAACATTATCATACTTTATCCCTATCCCTCATTTCTCTCATTGCTCTACACAAGTTCAAATGTAAGAAAATCATATTAGCTTTTTCTTAAGCATCTAATAACAAAGAGATGATACAGCTGCCAGAAATATCAAAATCAAGGTAAGAACTGATACAGTGGGAATAAAGGTCATTTAAGTAGGTAAGCCCATCTTCTGGTTTTAATGTGATGCATTTGGAAATATGTGCAGGCTTCTGAAGAGGGCAAGATGCTTTCTTGCTAGGTGTACCATGTAATATTAACTTGCAATGCTCATTTGTCTACTGCAGAGAAAATGTTGCAGTAGAAAAGTTAATACTCAAAAGTACACTCAGCTTCTCAGAAAGAGATAATATAGGGTGTCCTCCAAAATGTATACACACTTTAACAGCTGATAACTCACTTAATTTTCACTCCTTTTCAGGTTTAACTGATTTGAAATAATGGGTGAAGGCAGACTAAGCTTTGAAGAAAATGTATCCTAATGTGCCACTATACTTTTTTTAATGGGGATACATAAAACAAAGTGTACGGTACAAAACCGACAACAGTTGACGAATTGAGGGCACACAAGTACCAAACAAAATAATTCTTAATGTTTGCAATTCCATTGCTTTGCATTAACAGCAATGAACAGTCATCAGTTTGAAAACATGCATTGACAAAAAAAAAAAAATTTATTCATTTCTGTAGATCCTTTTAAATTCTGAAAATGAACTGTATGTTAAACATTGACTTCATAATCATTCATCGTATGTATACATATTTGAGGAACCCTATATACATACCCCAGATAGTGCAAGTAGTGCTAAAGTAGTATTTGTTTAGAAGTGAAGCATTTTTGCTTGATATTGGAAACTCAAGAGTATTTATAATTTTTTTCATGACATATGATTAATACTAAACTATTTACATTTATGAAAATTTGCTCTGGTTGTGATTAATCTGTTTTCTTGAAAAGAGGAAACCCAATGAAATAAGACAGATATAGCATGAATTTTGGCCCACAACACCAAATACATTACTGTGTTAGTTGATTAAAAATTACAGAACATACTAGAATGCCTATTATAAAATCAAGTAAATGTATATGTTCAATGAATCTCAGCTTTTAATGATTAAAATCTAGGTCATGCATTTTGTTATTTAGAAAAGAATACTTAAGAATCTATTGAAAGGATAACCAATGGACAGACACTTGGGGGTGTGGGGAGTGAGGGCATGTGCCAGGGGTAGGGGAGGCCAGGGGGAGGTCAATGGAGGGAAAAAAAGGAGACATATGTACTACTATTTGTAATAAACAGTAAAAAAATACCAAATAAAATAAAATAAAGCAAATCAATGTGAAAATGTTGATGAAATATAAGGGGGAAAAAGAATCTATTCAGTCTCTTTTCTCTTTAGACATTATTGTTAGACTGCTGCTGGTCACTACTATCTACACTATTGTAGAAGATCCCAACATCTTACGGCTTCCAATTAAGTATTCCCTCTTTATCACACTGTGTCTATAAAGAACGTATGAAAATTATAATGGCAAACAGAAGTTAAATTTGAAAAGTAAAAGGCACAGATCAAACCACTTCTAGAGATAACTGGTAATTACAAGGGGAAATTATGTTATCTGGAGATAATAAATGATCTGGATTCTTGGTAGCATTTATAATACAGAAAATTGCAAATTGTGTATTAAAAGAAATAGGATCACAATTCCTTTTTTTTAATGTTCTAAATATTTGGCACAATGCACAGCTTGCCTTATTTACAAACTATGTGATAGAAGTAACATATTTTTCAAAATACTTTTAAAAATTGTCAGGTTATAAAGTTTCACATCTACTCCTTACTACCCCCTTCTCTAGTTCCCAAATTTTCTATTTTCTTATTGAAAATCTAAAAGTGATTATCATTCCTTTCTTACCTGAAGGCCAAATTAAAAGTAATCACTAATAATATATGGCTAATATATAAAAAAGATCTTAATTTAGCTGTAACAGCCATAGATTTAGGGTATTTTCAGGAGACATCCCTAGAACAAAACAAATTCACTCATATTTATCCAATAATATGATGCTTTTTTCTTTTCAAATTATTATTTACCCCCAGATTGTTGCAATCTACTTTTTTTTTTTTAACATATTTTTATTGATTTCAGAGAGGAAGGGAGAGGGAGAAATAGAAACATCAATGATGAAAGAGAATCATTGATCGGCTGTGTTCTGCATGCCCCACACTGGGGACCGAGCCCACAACCCAGGCATGTGCCTTTACCAGAATCGAACCCGGGACCCTTCAGTCCGCAGGTTGACACTTTATTTACTTGAGTTAAACTGGCTAGGGCTGCAATCTACATTTTTTTAAAAAATGATAATCTTCCTCTATAGTCAAAGCAAAACAAGGAGCAGCATAGCCATCATCATTACAGAAATTATTGTATACTTTTAACATAATATTAGGTATTTTTAATGACAATACTAAACCAATTTTTAATTATATATACTAAATGTATACACTTACTATTTGAAAAATATATTGATTCTACCTATTTTTACTACACATGGTAACTTGTGTCTTCTTCCTAATAGCACAATTACAACAACAGGAACACAAAATATATATTAAATGTGAAGAAAGATTGGAAAAACTTCCTCAGCCTTGGTCTATTATCTCTTTACCTTTCCTTTGTATACCCATTACAACTGATTGGTCTTCTTCATTTCCCTTTCACGCTATTCCTATCTAAAGACCTCTGGGGCTTCTGAGCAAGGACAGGAATACTATACTGTTGCTATTGGATTAACTTAAATTACAGGTTTAAAAAAGAATAAAATGCTTGATGTTAAGAAAGCTACACACAGAAGCCAAGGGAGAATAGAGGAGGAGGGGAGGAAACAAAACAAAACAGGGAGAGCGGTTGTGGCCCACCAATAATTATCTGGCAACTCCAGAGCAGAGGTTCCTATCTAGACTTTAAAAGGTCAAAATTGAGAGCACAGTTCGCCAGTCATCAGGTTTCATAACATTATTTTTTTTGGAATAATGCTCAATTTCATCTCTATTTTAAAAAACCTATTTCACTCCAATGGAAAAGAGCTTGCTTCCCATCTACATCTACAACAGTAGAAATGGCAAGGCTTTCTTTATTACTTCTGAAAGAAAGCCAAAACAATTTTCCTCTATTATACTCATGATTCCCCCAACCTTCCCCAATTCCCTGCATAAACATCAAACTCCCAGAAAACCGAGAAACTACAGAGTATAGCCACCAAAGACAATTTTAACTTATCTCCCTGACTTTTTTCCACCCCACCCCTCCAAACACACACAACAGAGGTCAATGTGTTTGTTGAGTTTGGCAAGGGCAATCATTAAAAAAGGTAAAGTGCAATAAGGTGGTGAAGGAGGCAGGAGGCGGGGGCGGGCTAGAAGAGGTCAATGGGGGGGGAATGGGGACATAAGTAATACTTTCAACAATAAAGATTTAAAAAGAAAAAATTGGTAAAGCAAAGGCTCACAGAATCCTTAATATTAAGTAAAAATTGGTAACATCATAAAATCAATTCATTCAACTTTTAACCCATTTGGGAAAGTTTAAGCTTTTAACTTAAAAATATGGTAGTACTTCTTTATATCCTCTTAATTGCGCATGCTAACAACTTTATTGGATACTGCTGCTTCTTATTAGAAGTAAATCCAGGGACCATTCCATTTTATCTTAGACATAACATTTACTAGTTTTCCAAGCATGACAGAAATGGAAAAATATATATATTAGAGCAAAAACAATTTATGTTAATGTCTACCATTTGTGTTCCTTCTGTGAGCAGTGCCTGATTATATTAAAATTAACAAATTAAAGTTCAGTCCTATGCTTAATGAAAAAAAAAATCTAATGAGAGACTAATTTACAAAGTATACAAGAATATAATTTTATAATAAATCTTTCCAGTGTTCTCTGTAACTGCATTTCATGAAATGTTTCCCTTCACAGAAACTCAAAACAGCTCTTATAAAATTAAACAAAACTTTCTGTGTTCATCTCTGGCAAGCATTAAGCAAATACAACTTGCTCACAAAAGATCTAAAAGTGCTGTCTCAGGAGCATAAACTACCACTAACATGCTGCATGAATTAGTCTTGGTGAGTGGCTACTGTCTGGGACCCCTTTTTCTCTTCTTACATCAATGAACCCTTCTCATATGAAGCTTAAGAGAAAACCAAAGCCGTTGAAAAAGTGAAACTCAGCATGCTCCACTCAAATATTTCTAAGATAACCATTCTAAAGCAAAATTGGCAGAAGTCATCTGTTTTATAAAAACAAACAAACAAACAAACAAATAAAACCCAAACCAAAAGGCAAATGCCACTGCTCGATCATCGGTTGAACTTACAGAGGCCAAAACATGTGACAACAGCAATAATTCAAGTAAAGTATTTGTGAAAATTTAAACACGCCACTTTCAAGTTAAGACAAAAGTGAAGGGAGCTATGATCTTTATATATCAGAGTCAGAAAGCTTAGGCATTATCATCAAATGTTAATCACTTTACAGTCATCAATGAGACTATTGTATATATTTTTGCACCTTGCGCTTGTAAAAGCAGATAAAATATTTAATATGTAATTTACAATGTATTTTACCAGCTCAGCATACAGGATGTATATAGATTATATCAAAGTAGTAGACAGTTATAAGGACCTGTGCAAACCCTGCAAAAATAGTACTTCGGGTATTTGCTAATTAAAAAACAAAAACAAAAACAGTTTACTGTTTGGAAGTGATACAGTTCAAACTACCACAAAATACAAAGGGCTGCAAAATGTATACCATTCCAACAACATATATAAGTTATTAAATAAAGATTTGATTTAAAAGAATATAAATGAAGCCTTTAAGTAGGTCTTTTCTACATGCATATTATTCCTTATTAAAGAAAAAAATATGTAAAAAGGCCATTGGTAATTGCTTTGTTAACATTTGTAGAAAATGCCAATTCTCTGGTCACAAACTCCACTAAGTTTAGCACTTAAGGTCTCTGCAATGTTATAAACGTAATTTAAAATACTGTTAATTCTATAATTCCATTGGTAAAATAATGTGACTTGGAATATGGCAGTCTTCATGTTCAGGGCAATGATCCACAGTTTGTTTTAATTGCTGAGGTGTGAACAGTTATCCAGAAGAACAGCACCCTCCACCACTGCTCTGGACTTGAGGTTCATCATCAATAATCTGTACACCTCGCCGGGCAGCTCCTGGTTGACTGGAGCCATTGCCTTTTGCCCTCTCATCCACTTGTGCTGTTTCTATCATCCCTAAGAGAGGAAGAAAGCAGAGATTACTTAAGACTACAATCTTAGAATTTTCTCTTTTTATAATTTCGTATACCAGCATGATAGCCATTTCTGACTTTAAACCAAAAAAGGAACTAAATATAATAAACATTCTGTCAGCTCACTATACAGCTTTTCCTGCAAGTTTAAAAATTAATAGCAAGTTTATTTGTCTAGATATATAATGGCCACAATGACAGAGAAAAAAAATTTTTTGGCTTGAACAAATGAACAAAAGGATAAGTATAATCCTTAAGATTTTTCAAATGTACTTAGAAATATGTCAAAGACATCCAAATTGTTCCCAAGAACAAGTGATATTTAGGGTGCAAGATTTATTCTTCAACTAGTAATGCATATTTGAAAGAATAAAAGAGTTTAACATGAAGAACAACAAATCTGGAGAACTCACACTATCTAATTTAAAGATACAGTAGAAAGCTATTCTTATAAAGACAGATATTGATGAAAGGAGAAATACAGAGATCAGTGGAACAGAGTCCAGATACAGAGCCATGGTCACTTGATTTTTGACATATGTGCCAAGATTATTCAATGAAGGATAATCTTTTCAAGAAAACAGTACTGGAACTGGACAGTTATATGTAAAAAATAAACCTCAACTTATACCTCTCACCATATGCTAAATTAACAAAAAATGAATTATAGACCTAAATGTAAAACATAAAACAAAGTTTCTAAAAGAAAACATAGGAGGAAATCTCTATAGGAGAAAATCTTTGTGACTTTGAATTTGGCAAAGATTTCTCATATAAGACACAAAAACCAGTAATCATAGGAGTAACTAATAAATCAGACCTCATTAAAATTTAGAACTTCTGCTCTTTAAGAGACACAGTTAAGAAAAATAAGCCCTGACTGGTTTGGCTCAGTGGATAGAGCGTCGGCCTGCGGACTCAAGGGTCCCGGGTTCGATTCCAGTCAAGGGCATGTACCTTGGTTGCAGGCACATCCCCAGTGGGGGGTATGCAGGAGGCAGCTGATCGATGTTTCCAACTCTCTATCCCTCTCCCTTCCTCTCTGTAAAAAATCAATAAAATATATTTTAAAAAAAGAAAGAAAAATGAAAATACAAGACATAGACAGGAGTAAATAACTGCAAAATACATATCCGAAAAGATAAGGAAAGAACAGATGGAATCCTCAAAACAGAACAAGAGTTCTTAAATTTGAGTTGAGACACTGCTCTTGAACAATGGTTTCCAAATTAAAGTGAGAACAATCCACTGAGATGAAATTAGAAAACATTACAAATTCTAACTTCTACTTAGCTTTCCTCAATCTTTAAAATTATCTATTTATGTGTTTTATAATGTACAAAATATATTCATACTTGTGTATGTTCTGTATTTTTAAATAAACATATGGGGAATGTTCAAAATTTTCTATGAAGACATGTGATTGAAACATTTATAAGCCAGATCTAGAGCGTGGTACTCAAAGTACAGTCTAAGGGAGGACCAGCATGACCAATTGGGTTAGAAATGAGAAGCTCAGACCCCACCAGATCCATTTTAACAAGATCCCCAAGGGATTGGTATATACAGCAGTGCTTCTCAAATTTTAGAGTGCATCAGAATCATACAGAGGGATTGTTAAAACACAGATTCTGGGCACCACCTCCTTAGATTTTGATTCAGTAGATTTGGGGTAGGGCCCAAGAATTTGCAGCATTTCTAACACAGTCTCAAGTGATGCTGCTGCTGCTGCTGAGGGCACTTCACTTAGAAAATTATTACTCTAGAACAATTATGAATGACTTTCAGGTTTTCATAGAATTGAAATTTACTCCAAAGTTTGTGTACATGTACATTTTTCTACAGAGAAAAACCAGTTTCATCAAATTCTCAAAAGAGTCTGATGTCCATAAGTTCAAGGAATATAAATTAACAAAATCATTTCAATCCATTATTCCATAGACTTGAGTTTTCCAAAATATGTATTTTATTAGGGATAGATATGAGAAATGACTTTCAGGGTATATATAAATAAACATTTTCCTTTCTCTCTTTAAGCAACTTTTTAATAATAGAAAATTTCAAACGTATACATAAAATTGGAAAGAACAGCATAATGAAAATCCATATGTCCATCACACAATTTCATCCACACCTGGCAAGCATCCTTACCATTATTTTGAATCAAATCCCATATACATAATTTTTTAAATATATTTTATTGATTTTTTACAGAGAGGAAGGGAGAGGGATAGAGAGTTAGAAACATCGATGAGAGAGAAACATCCATCAGCTGCCTCTGACACACCCCCTACTGGAGATGTGCCTGCAACCAACGTACATGCCCTTGACTGGAATCGAACCTGGACCCTTCAGTCTGCAGGTTGACACTCTATCCACTGAGCCAAACCGGTCAGGGCCCATATACATAATTTTATTTATAAATTATTCTAATATGATCTATAAAAGATAAGAACTCTTGTTAAAAAAAATAACTCTTGCCCTAGCTGGTTTGGCTCACTGGAGAGTGTTGGCTTGCAGACTGAAGGTTCCTGGGTTCGATTCCCATCAAGGGCAAACACCCGGGTTGCGGGCTCGTTGCCCAGTAGGGAGTGTGCAGGAGGCAGCAGATCAATGATTCTCTCTCATCATTGATGTTTCTATCTCTCTTTCCCTTTCCCTTCCTCTCTGAAAAAAAAAAAGAAAAAAAATTAAACAAATAAAATCTCTTGCCCAACTGGTGTGGCTCAGTGGTTGAGCATCGACCTATGAACAAGGAGGTCAGGGTTCAATTCTTGGTCAGGGCACATGCCTAGGTTGTGGGCTCGATCCCCAGTAGGAGGCAGCTGATCAGTGATTCTCACTCATTATTGATGTTTCTCTCTCTCTCTCTCTCCCTTTCTGAAATCAATAAAAATATATATAAAAAAGGAGTTAAAGAAAAATATTAAGTCGAAACCGGTTTGGCTCAGTGGAGAGAGCATCGGCCTGCGGACTCAAGGGTCCCGGGTTCGATTCCGGTCAAGGGCATGTACCTGGGTTGCGGGCACATCCCCAGTGGGAGATGTGCAGAAGGCAGCTGATCGATGTTTCTCTCGCATCGATGTTTCTAACTCTCTATCTCTCTCCCTTCCTCTCTGTAAAAAATCAATAAAATATATTAAAAAAAGAAAAAAAAAGAAAAATATTAAGTAAATAGTAGTAATGGAAGATGTGACAAATCATCAATGTGGTCATTAATGGAGATTGTAAAACATCACTTTAGAAATATTATGAATATTTTAAAAAGCCATTTCTAAATATACTAAATCTAAATATACCTACTTTTACAGAGGTCAAGAAAGAGTTCCTCAATTCCTTTGTTCTGTTTGGCTGATGTATGATAATGTTTTGCTCCCACAGATTCTGCATACCTTAAAAAAAATAATAATATCAATAACCAATGTAAAAAATATTTCTCATATTTTTGTCATGACGGCTATGTGAATTTTTTCATAGTTCCAAGTTTAGTGACCTTTAATTAGCCCAGATTTAATAAAATTAAGACTATAGCCCTGGCCGGTGTGGCTCAGTTGGTTGGGCAGTTGGCCCATGTACTAAGAGGTTGCCAGTTCAATTCTAGTCAGGGCACACGGCTGGGTTTTGGGCTCGATCTCCCGTGGGGGGCATGCAGGAAGCAACCCAGGCAGCCGACTGATGTTCCACTCTCACATCTATGTTTCTCTTTCTCTCTCCCTCTCCCTTTCTCTCTCTCTAAAGATCAACTAAAATATATTTTAATAATAAAATAAAAAAGATTATATATATAGCTGGTTCACATCTCTGTACATTGAACCAAATTTTAAATGAGCACAAGTTAACAAGATTTAAAATTTTTATAAGTTAACTTGGAACCCAAATATCTTAAAAGTTTTTGTGACACACTGACTATTTGATCATGATAGTTTTCTTATGCATTACTTTATATTTTTTACTGAAATCATAAAGAGATGTGAGAGTGGATTATCTTTATATACAGCCGAAAGTCTAGAAATTATCAATGTTAACATACTTCACTGAATCCAACAGCTCAATCTATATTAAGACATTTGAGCATGCCTGGTGTAGCCCAGTGGTTGAGCATCAACTCATGAATCAGGAGGTCACGGTTCGATTCCTGGTCAGAGCACATGCTGGGGTTGCAGGCTTGATCCCCGGTGGGGAGCATGCAGGAGGCAGCCGATCGATAATTCTCTCTCATCACTGATGTTTCTATCTCTCTCTCCCTTTCCCTCCTCTCTCTGAAATCAATATATACATATATAAAAGAAACATTAAAAAACCACAAACCAAACATTAGAGTAATACCTAAATGGTAAAGCACACTCCTAAAAGGAAGACTTCTACTGGGGAGTGATTGTTGGGGGAGGAGGGGGTGTCATTGGGAGGATGGCAGGGATAACACTTACGATTCTGCTTCTTGAATGGACACATGTCTCTCCTTTTCCAAGTCTATTTTATTACCTAATTTGAAAAAGTAAATGCCAAACTTTAATATTAATTCATTATTATAACAAAATTAAGCCAATTCTAAATACACAATTACAACTTTAACCACCTGGAAAAGTAATACAAATCCCCATCAGACTTCTAAATATCTTAAAATTATAACCATAACCCTTATGACATGAGGGTTGATCATATCTATCAAGATGAATGCCTCAACCTCCCTCAAATGGCTCAATGCATAGCATTCCTGAAGCTGTAGTTTGTCAGAGAAAATACGGTCACTATTCCTTGTTTTACAGTATTACAGAGACTAAGATCACTAGGGAACCTAGGCATAAACCTATGTTTCTTAGCCAAGTGTAAATGGTCCCCAATCAACTTTAGAGTCCGTTAATAATTAAGCAAGGCTACCTTATTGTTCACAAAAATATATTAGGCTATCCTCTTGGATCCTAAGAGTATTTTGGTTTCCTTGATGATATAAGCTGGATAAAGAAAGAATTGTATGGCTTTTTAAGCACTTCACCATCACAGAGGAGGAAACTACTCTTTTGTTTTAAAAACATGAGAGAACTTAATAAAGTATATGCACATTATAACCTAGAGAGTATTAGGCTAATGAAATAAGTCAGAAAGAGAAAGACAAATACCATATGATTTCACTTACTAGTATATGTGGAATCTAAACCACAAAATAATTGAACAAAAAAGAAACAAACTCACAGATACAGAGGAAAAAACCTCACAGACACAGAGAAAAAACCTGATGATTGCCAGATAGGTGGGGAGTTAGGGGGATGGGTGAAAAAGTGGAAGGGATTAAGATGTACAAATTGCCAATTATAAAATTAGTCACAGGGACATAAAGTACAGGATATGGAATATAGTCAATAATACTGTAATAACTATGTATAGTGTCAGATGGGTACTAGACCTATTGAAGTGATCACTTCTTAAATTATATAAATGTCTAATCACTATGTTGTACACCTGAAACTAATATATTTTATGTCAATGGTAACTGAAAAAAAAATATATATGTGCACATCACACACATTTAAAATTACTGAGCCCTCCTTAAACAAGGGAACCAAACTGAGATTATGATAAAAAGCCACCAGAACAAAAGGGAAGATACTGCAAAATGCAGATTCCTTATTAAATGCAGGATAGAAGTAGAAGTGAGTTGGCTGGATACACCAAGTGCTAAAGGTAATGGAAATAACAGACAGGAATGGGGGAAAATACCCTAAGGAAGGACACTTCAAACAATATTTTCTTTTTTTCTATTATGACTTGGGGAGGGGGGTAGGAAACCTTGTAAATAAAGTTCTTTTTCTTAGGACCTTAGAAAACCTAGAAGAGCATTGAAGTAAAAGCATCTATTGAAAGATTCAATGCTTAGAACTGAGAAGCATAAGCGCAGAGGTTCAACATGTAAAGGACCTCAAATAATCTGAGCACCTAATTGTAAGCAACTGCAATCAACTACCTGACTCCTTAGTCTAAGAATGAGAGGGAGGGAAGTAGTCTAAAGCTCAGTAGGTACCAACAAATTTAGTAATGAATTCTTCCCTCTTTGAACAGTTATTTGTCTACCTCAGCAGGAAGATACATATTAGTTCTGATTTCCTACATTAAACTTTTTCAATAAAAATTTTAATTTGCTGAATATTATAGCCAATATATTCAACAGTCACCAAAGAAAAGTTTTATTTATGTTATAAGAATGCAAAAAGCACCACCTAGTGGCCAGTGGTTCCAATAAACAAAGGCACAATATTCTGCCACTCTTAAAAAGGTAAAACAAGATTGCCTCCTAGAGGAAGCAAGACCTTTGTTCCAATTAACTAAAACCCTAGATGGGTTTTTTCCTAGATCTTTTTGCCCTCCCCCCTTATTTTTCCCCAAATTCCATCTGAATTATCAATATATATTTTTTAAAAATGAGAAGAGAGAGTACTGCCTCAAATGATTACTTGGGGGAAATTACTCAGTTTTATTATTTAGTAACGTTTTAAACTTAACTAACTTTAATAAACCCAGTTATTAAAATAGCTATTTTAATTACTTACTATTTTAAACAAAAGTTTTTAAATCCTTCTATGAAATAACTACTATTTCTTTGAACAATCAGTGTTCATAATGGATTGGGTAAGCACAGACTAAGTCACAGAAAACTGCCTGTTAGCAACGCATACCTTTCCAAAGCTGAAAACCTTTTTAGTTCCTATATTCTTTTAAAAGCAAGACAGCTAAAGGATTAGGCTTTAAGGCTCATATCTGCTTTAATACGATGGCACAGCTAACAGGAAACTGTCTAATAGGCTTAAAACACCTGAAAACAAGGATAAAAACACCTACTTGAAAGTACAGTACTAGAAAGATTAAAAAAAATTTGGCTAAAGCTACTGGAGGGAGAGGAAAAAAGCCACCCTGTTAAGAATAGTAAAAACTTTTTCTTTAAAAACACCTATTTGACTGAAGAGCAGAGGGCCTAAAAAGAGCTAGAACCATATTTTGCTTAAATTGGATGGTATTTGGTCTAGTAATAAGAAGCTTTCAAAAGCCTTTTAAATCCGAAGAAAATTGGTTTATCCAGGCTCATTTTATGGCTATAAGATTTCAGGCAAATTACTTAACGTCTCTTAGTCTCCCTTTGTACAAATATAGTTAACAAACTTTGCAGGGCTGATGTGAAAATATGATATATATACTAAGCTTAGCATACAGTACATGTTCAATAAAGAGTAGTTATTAATATTAGCCATAATTCATTAAGGTGAATGATCATATGGAAAATCAATCTTGTTATGAGAGTTAAAGCCCATGATAGATACTTTCTACAACCACCCTGCTGGTTCCATCTAGCTAACTTAGTTAATCCAATGCTCTAGGAAATCTTCCCCTAACCCTTGACTCCCTAAATTTAGTTAGGTTTGCTTCTGAGCTATCACAGCACTCTGTAGTACTCCACCCTTCATAGCATTTATCATAATATATAATCGCTTGTTTTTTCTCTCTCTCCTTACACAATAAACTATGAGAAAACAAAGGCATTATCTATTTTGTTTACTTATTCACTACACAATTCCCAAAGCCTGATACATAGTAAGCAATATATAATGTTGATTAAGAATATGGGCTTGAAGTAACAGACAGATCCTACTTAAAATCCCAGGTCTACCTCCAACTAGCTATGTATTTTGGAAAGTATCAAGCTCTCCAAGTCCATTTCCTCAGGTGTAAAATAGAAATGGCAACAATACCTCCCTTGCAGTATTGTCAGGAGGCATAAATGAAATAATAAATATGTAGTTCTTAGAAAAGTACCTGGCACTCAATAAATAACTTATCCTATATAATAAAGAGCTAATACGCAAATAGTCATCATGCCCTCACGCCATCACGGCTCAGAGACTCAACACTGGGGAAAGAGGAATGGGGACCAGCCAGGCACAAATGAGCTTGCGAGAGAGGAATGGGACCAGCCAGGCTGCAGCCCGGGAGAGGGACAAGCTACCGCCCCGCGGTCCTGGGCACCTGCGGCTGCGGCCTGGGTGAAGCCGCCCACCCATAGTCCCCTGCGGCTACAGCTGGCCCAGGCGAAGCCAGCCCGGGTCCTGGGTGCCTGTGGCCAGCCAGAGGGAAGGAAGCCTGGGTCCCAGGTGCCTGTGACTGGCCGGAGGAGGGAATCCTGGGTCCCGGGTGCGGGGCAAGGCAGAGGTGGTTAGGGGCGATCAGGCCAGCAGTGGAGCAGTTAGGGGCGATCAGGCCGGTAGGGGAAAAGTTAGAGGCGATCAGGCAGGCAGACAGGCAGAGGTGGTTAGGGGCGATCAGGCAGGCTAGCGGTTAGGAGCCAGCAGTCCCGGATTGCGAGAGGCAGTCGGACATCCCCTGAGGGGTCCCAGATTGGAGAGGGTGCAGGCTGGGTTGAGGGACCCCCCGCCCATGCACGAATTTCATGCACCAGGCCTCTAGTCATAATAAATATTTGGCACTGGCAGGTGTGGCTCAGTTGGTTGGGTGTCGTCCATGCATGGAAAGGTTGCTGGCTCAATTCGCGGTAAGGGCACATTCCTGAGTTTTGGACTAGACCCCTGGTTGGGAGCATGCAAGAGACAGCCTATTGATGTTTTGCTCTCACATCTATGTTTCTCTCTCTCCCTCTCCCTTTATCTCTCTCTTTAAAAAAATATTTAAAAAGTAGTAAAATTAAAAATAATAAATATTTAACAAACATACAAATGTTAAGGGCAGACTAAAACCAAAATACTATCAAATAGAGCAAATAGGATGGTAATAATGGATTAATTAAAGCCTAGCGGGGGGGAAAAAGTCTCTGCCAGTGAAGTATGAGGTTCTCTATTATTGGTTAACACATTATCAGAGGCTTATATAAAGACCTAGAAGGCTCAGTATCTAATTTAATCTATTTAGAAACATAAGATAAGTTGAAATTCCTATTCTTAGGCTTAAATAACAATTATAGAAGAACAAGATGGGAAAAGACTGACAAAAGAGCAATATTTATAAAAAGGAATTCAGAGTTTTGTTATCTATAATCTATATAAAAGAGACACTGACCTGACATGGCTAAAAAGTGTATACATTCTTGGGCAATGTTGGTAGAAGGACAGTGAGGATTTAAAAAAAGAGAGAGAGCCATATAAGTATACACTGGCTCAATAATGTTAGATTCTAGGGTTCATTTTAAGCGTAGGGGACACACTGATACATTGAAATAAACCCATAAAAAAATAATTAGGATGATGAAAATGTTTGGAAGTTAGACCAATAAAAAAAAGTTGAAGACCCAGAATATAAGACTGTAAGTGAACTATCCAAACAGGCTTCAAAGGTTTGAAAGGTTGTCTTATGTTCAGGAAAAGGAACAAATATTTGTCCAATGCCTTCACTATCCTAAGTGTTCTCCAAATCATATCTAATCTTCACAACAATCTTGTGAGGTATTATTATTTTGAATTTAGTAATAAAACAAAAGAACTACTTACTATTAATAAAACTACTGAGCTAATGGAATAATAAATAATAAATATGTAATTCTTAGAAAAGAACTACTACTGAGAATAGAATGAACATCACTAGGTGAAAAAAAATAATGCAAATGTTCAATAGCAAAAGGATAAACTGTAGAATGTTCAACAGGATAAAGTATTAGATAGCAAAGAGAATAAAATGAACTACATCCATATACAAGAATGCAGAGAAATCTTGCAAACATAATATAAAGCCAAAGAAATCAGACACAAAAGAGTTCATTCTCTATGATTACACTTATATAAAATTTAAAAAAAACAAAAAAAAAACTAGTCCATAAAGTAAAAAGTTTAAGAAGTGTTTGGCAGTAGGAGATGGTGAGGAGAAGGCAGCTGGGTAGTGAGGGGATGAGAAAGAAGCACAGGCGGGGCTTCTAAGGTACTGGTGATATGACTTCATTAACTGTGAAATTTTCCTTTTGTGATAAATAGGCTCTCCAAATTCTTCCAACTCTGAATTACAATTAAAATCCCATGTCACATTTGCCAATAGGAAAGAAAAGAGAGTGAGCTTTTTATACCAATCATTAATAAACAGTATATAACATTAAATATGAATATTTTACCCTATTGGAGTAGTAAGCTACCAGACACAATATTCCTAAACCTTCTTATAATATGAACATGAAGAATATACAGTTTACATTAATTGAGCTTAATATGCATAAGCTTATTTACCCAGTTTTTAAAAAATGTTACTTTATAACTTCATCAAGTAACAAGCTCTTGAGACTTCTTTGAGTATATATTAGCCATTTCTTTCTCTCTTCCAAGAGATAATCCCAATTCTAAATACTCAAATATTCATTTGTTAATAATCATAGCCACTTCTACCTCCACCAAGTCCCATATGCCACACAAAGCCAGGCCAAACACACTAATGACTAGCTGCAACTTTGGCCCCAAACTCCTATAAAGCATACTATCTCAGTGTTCAGTTCTGAAACATTCCTGCCATCTAGCCTAACATGCAGCATCTATCCCTCCCACCCTCTCTCTAAGCATGCTCTCAGATGAGGATTTTAAAAAATGTATATAGTTAAATGTAGAGAATACGAACACTAGCTTAAGTAATTGGTTTTAATTTTAGTTCCTGAACTTATTTCTAAATAAAATCTTATGGTGAAAAGGTAAAAGTCAAATTGAAACAAGGCTGGGGACTTAAAGCCTTACATGTTTAGCTTCCCATTTGTTCCCCAAGGCATTCCGTTAAGTACAGAGTTTGAATCTCCTAAAAGAGTAATTCCAAATACTAAATTATTCTAAAACATTATGCATTAAAATGCCATTCTTCTTTTCTCATATAGTTTTAAAATGAGAATTACTGGTTTACTATTCTTTATAAAGCATTAAGAAAACAAAGGAGATTTTTAAAAAGTAATGATGCTTACCAACTATACATAAACAGATTTCATTTCCCAACATTTTCCGCAATTCTTTGACCCAGTTTTTTACCTGTGTATATAAAAGAATTAATATTAAAACAAATTCTGTTACAAGACTATCATTACAACACTCCAAAATTCAACAATGTCAAAATACCTCAGAATTTGGCTAACAAGCCATATATTTAGTTGTTACCTGGAATGATTCACTGTAAGATCATTTATTGCCAGGTTATATTACAAACAACAAACATCCAATAGATTTATTTCTCTCTGTCTCTACCTATAGGTACAAAGAGAAGTACCTCTTATTACAAATGTTCATAAACCTTCCATAGATTCAAGCAAAGCTATTCACCAGAGCAAAAGCATGTCAACTCCAGCCTCTGATAACAGGTACTTGCATAGAACCACTTTGGACTTAAGAACACAAGAACTTAACCCAACTGGTTCTGAAATAGAGAGCATAGGAGCTTGTGTCACACACTTAAAGGAAAAAGTATATATGGGCACCAAAAAGACTGGCAAAAGAAACTTTCATCCTTTAGTATATGACAGGTTTTTTTCAACCTTGGCAACTACTGACATTTTGACTCAGATGATTCTCTGTTATGAGGGACTGTCCTGTGTAATATATGATGTTTAGCAGCAAACCTGGCCACCTAAGCACTCTATGCCAGTATCACCCTCCAGTTGTAACAACCATAGATGTCTGCAGACATTTCCACCCCCTCCTGGAGAACCACTGGTATACAATGACTCTAGAAACAAACTGATACTTCATTATGGACACAGCAGTAAGCCCAGTTGGGAATAAACTAGAATTAAGAAAATTAATCTTTTGAAGCCATGATTTTAATGATGTTGACTACAATAAAATAATATTTAAAAAAAAACAAACACCTGGATACCTCCTTTCATTTTTTGTAATGGAATTTATTCTGTATGTAATCAAATTACACAGAACTTATATACCTCCCCAAAAAATTACACACATATCTATTTATAAGTTACAAATATTACATTAAATATATGGTAAGCATTTACTGTGCATCTGGTCTGATGGTAAAAATGTAACAGCACTGTACTCCTATTCCCTGCAAGAATGTAGAGGAACCATGATCTCACTCATTTGTGGAATATAATGAACAACATAAACTGATGAACAAAAACAGATCCAGAGACAGAGAAGCATCGATCAGACCATCAAACCTCAGAGGGAAGGTAGGGGAGGGTGGGGATAAGGGGGAGAGATCAACCAAAGGACTTATATGCAAGCATATAGGCCTAACCAATGGACACAGACAACAAGGGGGTGAGGGCATGAGTGGGGGGTGGGGGGGGGGATGAAGGGTAATGTGGGGATAAGGACACATATGTAATAACCAATAAAAAAAATAAAAAAATAGCTATACCAGCACTAGGTTATAGGAATTTTTAAGCTCCACTATAATCTTTTTTTTTTAAATATATATAATGTGTGTGCTCCCAGACCATGTGTGTGCACACCCTTCTGCAGAAGTAAAGATATTTGCCTGACAAAAAAAAAAAAAAAAGAATGTACAGGAACTAACTCTTTAGTAAACCCCAAATCTTTAAAAAAGCAAAGGTAATCAATATCAACACCTTGTCTCTGTAACAGCACTGAACCAGTTTTCTCAGAACAGCCCCATCTTTTTGCTTCATTCATGCATATATAAAGTTTTCAGGAAAGCATTTAACTTCTGCCCCTAGTTAAGAAAAATTTGATAGTACTGGTATAAAATGTCCATCCTCATCACTTCAAAGGAAACATGTCAGAATCCAATTATGTATTACTCTACATATATACTATATGTATACCATATGTATGCTATACATATAGTATCACAAATCTAACCAGTTAAAAAAAATTGTTATTCACCTCTAATAAGAGCTCTCTCCACAGACATCCAATTCATTACCCCATACATTCTGTGGTGAGTTAAAGATGGTCACAAATTCTTTGCCAATCTTCCTATCAAGAGGCAGACTCTATTTCCCTTTCCTCTGAATTTGGGCTAGCCTTGTAACCTGCTTTGACCAAGAGAACATGGCAGAAATAATGCTATGCCAATTCCAGACCTAAGCTGTAAGGACTGGCAGCTACAATCTTGGGATCCAGTTATCATATAAGAAGCTTAGGCTAGGATATGGAATAATGAGAGAGCATGTGGTGAGAGAACCAAAAGATGAGACACCAAATGGAGTGAGAAGCCATATGGAGGAGAACCAGGCTGCCTTGGATGGTTCCAGGCCAGCTAAACTCCTAGTTCAATGCAACTGCATGAGTGACTTCACTGACACCAAGTATAGCAGAGGACGCACAAAATCATGAGAAATAGTAAATAATTTTAAACCACCAAGTTTTAGGAGTTTTGCTATGCAGCAAAATAAACGGTCACTTTTCAACTAAGAGACTCAACCTTCCCTCTCTCCCTCTCTCTTTTTGTTAATCCTCACCAGAGGACATTTTTCCCATTGTGGGAGAGTGGGGAGGGAGAGGGGGAGAGAGAGAAGGGGGGGGGGAGAGAGAGAGAGAGAGAGAGAGAGAGAGAGAGAAACATCAATGTGAGAGAGACACTTGGATTGGTTGCCTCCTACACCCACCTTGACTGGGGTCAGGAGGTGAGCCCCCAACCCAGATACGTGCCCTTGACCGGAAATCAAACCTGTGACCCTTTGGTTCACGGGCCAACGTTCTAAACTCTGAGCAACACCAGGCAGGGCTCAACCTTCTCTTTATCAAGAAGATACCTAAACCATTTTTTTTAAATGTAAAAAGGCAGGAAGGGCCCTGACCAGTGTGACTCAGTTGTTTGGACCATCAGCCTGTGTACCAAGAGGTGGCAGGTTCGATTCCTGCTCAGGGTACATACTCAGTTGGGGCATGTACGAAATGCAATGAATCAATGTTTCTCTATCACATATCTCTATCACATCTCTCTCTCTCTCTCTCTCTCTCTCTCTCTCTCTCTCTCCCCCCCCCTCCCTCCCTCCCTCCCTCCCTCTCTCTCTCTAAGACCAAATTTTAAAAATATATTACAAAATTAAAAAAGGCAGGAAGGGCTAAGAAATAGCATCAAATAGCAGCCCCAAAATAACTGTTAAAAATATCATTAAATCTGCAAGCTGTTTCATTTTCCTACTCCTTAAACTAAGTTTTTCCATGTCATCAGTAATCTAAGGCAAGCATGTCAAACTCGCGGCCAGCAGGCTGCATGCATCATTTATTTAAACGAGGCATGCAGCCCATTGGCCACGAGTTTGACATGCTTGATCTAAGAGCTAACATATATCTGCTTCATCAGTTAAATGCTTGGAGATAAAGGGGAAAAAAAACAACCTAAAAAGGCAAGCAATTTCAACATGAAACAACTATAACTCAAGCTAAGGTAAGTTTTTGCTTTGGAAATTACCCCTTTTGGTTATACACCCTTGAAAAATTCCAAAGGAGCTTTCAGAGGAAAGGTCAAATAAGTAATCAGTCACTATCCTAATAGTGATGACAATCTATATAGATAAAACCCTACCATGCAAAGAGACCAAATGGTGGAACAACCAGTTGCTATGATGTGCGCTGACCACCAGGGTGTGCACGTGGAACATGGTGGGCGTCAGCAGCAGGCAGCAGAGTGCAGAACATGGACGGCATCGGCCGCAGTGGGATGGTGGAGCAGGGGTGCCAGACCAAGGCAGGGCGCAGGTCACTGTCATCGGGGTGAGCCTCTGGTGGTTACTAAAAATTCTTTGCTCTGACGCACCACAGTCACGCTGGGCGCTCGCAGCTGCTGCTGGTGCCAGCCCCACTTGCACCCACTGCCGGCACCGGAGCCACTGCTTGAACCCACTGTTGGCACCCGGTGCTGGTCCCTATCTCTTGGCGCCGTCAGCGGTGTGAGCAGCGGCTGCCAGCCCCAATCGCCCCTGAGGGCTTCTCCACCTCTGCCTGCTCCTAAGGGGCAATCAGGGCAGCAGCCGCCGCTCACACCCGCCCTAATCACTCCACACTATTAGCAGGGGTGAGCAGGGCCAGCGTCGTCAGCACGTGGAAGCGGTGGCAGCAGGAGCGGGGCTGCCGGCAGACAGGAGACCAGGAGCCCGGGGGCCACAGTGGGAGGGGCCAGGCAGGGTCGAGGAGGATGGGCCGAGAGCCACCCCTGTGCCCACCGCAGCCTCGCAGCCCAGTTCCTTTCAAAGTACATGAATTTGTGCATGGGGCCCCTAGTTCAGAGATAAGTTTAATGGTGGTAACTCATTTTTGGTCCCAACTCTATATTGTTGATATACAAGCCCGGATGGTATGGCTCAGTGATTGAGCATTGACCTATGAACCAGGAGGCCATAGCTTGATTGCCAGTTAGGGCATATGCCAAGTGTTGCAGGCTCGCCGATCCCCAGTGTGGGGTGTGCAGGAGGCAGCCGATTAATGAATCCCTTTCATCACTGATGTTTCTATCTTTCTCTCCCTCTCCCTCTCTGAAACCAATAAAAATATTAAAAATAAATAAATAAAAAGGGGTGAAAAAAATGGAGGAGCTATAAAATAAACACTTTTTAAAGTTATATTATATCCTTCAGAACATTTAGTGAGGAGAAAGAGTTAAATTTGATTTAGTTCTCCCTTTTCCTCTTCACAATTAGGAAGCCCATGCAGCTGTACCAAGATTTCAGTTGCCCAGTATACATGTAATCCAAGAAATGCATGTGATTTTTCTTTAACAGGGAAAAAATATAAAGCCCCTATATTTTCCTGAAGTTTTACTTCAGATTCTCTTTCCTAAGGTCTAAGAAAGCCATGTAATTTTAACTATTAACAACTGTTATTCACATTGCTGACATGAATTAAATACTCCATTAAAAAACATGAGTGGTCACAATTTATATACAACAATACCTTTAAAATCAAGACTAATCAAATTAGTAAACAAAAGCATGTTATGGAAACTTGAAGATTCAGTGTTGTTCTTCTATTAAGTCATCTATACATCTATATATATAAAAAGCCAGAGATTTTAATGGCCATAACCACCGTGATGACCGGTCACTATGACGCCCACTGTGGCCAGCGAACTGGCCCAACCAGGGCATGGGGTGTGGGGCTGGCTGGCCAAACGACCCCTCCCTTCCCCCTGGCCAGCCCCGCCCCCAATTAGCCTGCCCCACGATGATAGCCCTGCCCCCTATGGGCCCCCATCATCATGATCAAACCTCAGGCACACAACAATAGCTCAGCTGAAACTTATTTTAAAGTTTCTGCCTTGTGTTAGTTTTTTAATCTCTGCAGTGCTGAATTTTCGCAAGGTCAGTACTGGGATGGACTAGGCTCTCCTCCAGGATTCTCCAGCTCCTG